AATCTGTATTAGGATACAGATCACATTGTTACTTGAACAGCTTACAAAAAAAAAAAAAAAAAAAAAAAAAAAATTAAAGATCTGCTGCTAGTTACTGCAACTTGAGCATACTTAAAATTCACCATCAGCACATTCTACAAAAAGTCAAAAATGGTACAATCTCAAAGGATGCTGAGGTGCTGGAGCGTGTCCAGAGAAGGGCAAGGAAGCTGGTGAGGGGTCTGGAGCACAAGTCTTATGAGGAGCAGCTGAGGGAACTGGGGTGGTTCAGCCTGGAGAAGAGGAGGCTGAGGGGAGACCTCATCGCTCTCTACAACTACCTGAAAGGGGGTTGTGACGACGAGGGTGTTGGTCTCTTCTCTCAAGTAACCAGCGATAGGACGAGAGGAAATGGCCTCAAGTTGCACCAGGGGAGGTTTAGATTGGATATTAGGAAAAATTTCTTCACTGAGAGGGTGGTCAGGCATTGGAACAGGCTGCCCAGGGAGGTGGTGGAGTCGCCATCTCTGGAAGTGTTCAAGAAACGTGTGGATGTGGGGCTTCAGGACATGGTCTAGGGGACATGGTGGCGCTGGATTAATGGTTGGACTTGATGATCTTGAAGGTCTTTTCCAACCTTAGTGATTCTGTGATTCTGTAACATGACAGGAAAAATTGTAACCTAAGACTGCCCAGGCCATGCAGTCTGTGTACAAAAGTAGCACATTCTGTAATTTGGGAATACCTGATTTGCTCAGTGGTTTAGTTATCTTGTTACAAATAACAGTGCTAGGCTTCAAATATGGCCTTCAGCCTGCAGTCACTGTAACCTTCAATGGATAACTAGCAAAGATCTTGCAACAGAAGCCAAATCATCGGCAGAAGAAACATAAATTTTGGGAAATAACAAGGAAACCAAACTGCTTCAGTGAACTGCAGTCCTAGGAATTTATCCTGGAATTTTCAGTCTGGACCTTCTAATACCAAGTTCCATTAATAAATACAAAAGCTGAATAGAGAGCATCATCTGCACCCACAGCAAGAGAAGAAACAATTATGTAGCACTCACACTAAAATGGCAATGATAACATAATGTTTCAAAATGTTAAATCATGACTTAGAAACACGTGAAAAACCAAAGGCATTTTAAAGCATAATTTTGTTTCTGAAATATACATATGTATACCCTTACACACAGATAGGTATAGACAGAGAGGTAGAGCATTTCTTTTGGCTAGTTTGTAACCTGTCAGTCATAATGTCTATGTGCCTCTGGAGAAATGATCTGCCTCTTTCTAACTCTTCCCCCATTTTTGTTACTTGAGTATTGCTCTAATATTTACTATATGAAACTCAATTAAATAGTCCTTAAGGATAGAGAAAGTGTAAACTTTTCTCTTTACTGTTAATTTTCGTCACAATGATGCAATACTGCTTCTTATTTAAGGAACTGCTCCTGTATTCCTTCTCCGAAAATATTTCTCTCATTTGGGGTAGCAGTCTTTTATTGTCATGAGAGTTTTGATCAAACAGAAATTGCAAGATCAGGTTTCTCTTAGTTAAAGGAAGGTAAAAATGCCCCTCCCAACTCACTGAATTGCACACTCACATGGTCTTGTCAAACCACAAAAGCTGTGGCATTGGCATGGTTCTCTCCTGGATCCTTGGGACACCAGTAGCACAAAATGTTATGTACTTATGAACACATAGGGTTTGGGCAGAGAATGCTAAAGAGGCCCACCAGGCAACATGGATCAACACGCATTTCTACACAGGGACCATATATCAGACTCTCCTACTTGTACCACCAGAGTGGGTTTTTTTCATCTTGGCCCTAGTTTGGAAGGAAAGAGAAAGGTAGTAAGAGCCTAGCGCATCTACATTAAGTGCTCAACTGAATGAGTTTCCACACAGAGGAAAACCAGGCTCTAAATATTCATTGCATGTCTGAATTCTGCTAAGGAACCCCTAGATCACTGCCGAGCTGTTGAGGATCAAGACTTTGTCCACAAAAATGCATTTAGCTGCATTTTATGTAATTGTTGCACAACACATAGCACAGGTTAGCTCTAAAAGACAGATTCAAAAATCTTTAGACTTAATGAGTATTAGAAGCCTAAATATTCCGCTGATACAGGCACTTGTTAAAAACATTTACTTAGGTGGCAGATGCCTGAAGAGATCACATGCTGTAGAAAAACATCTCTTAAGCATGGGGTGTCTATACCATCTATAATTTTGTGTAGATCTTTGTGAAACCATGAAAGCCAAAACACAACAGCCTTCGAAGACAAATTCTAATGAACGTCATACATACATTTAAAATGTCCCTTTTATGAAAGTGAAAGTCTATCAGATAGCAAGAGGAAAATAGATTGAATTATAAAAATAAATCAGTTTCCTCTCATAACATATCCTCTGAAGCTTTCAGAAAAACATACTCCCTTGATATGCTGCTTCAGCATCATTGTTAGAAAAAATGCTCTCTACATCATGCCATATTGTATCCAAACTAAATAGTTAAAGGACATCATTTGCCAGAGTGAATTAGCATACCTGGCAAATGAGTAATCCCATGGGGAATCACAGATATGTGTTCTCACATTTAAGTGATCAAATGAAGGGCTAAGCACAGCCCTTGAAACGGAAGCAATTTTTGGATTATTGGTTAACAATCTCAAGCAATATTGACTCAAGGGAAAGTGCCTTCCTAATGAAACCAACGGCTCACATAAAAAGAGCTTACAGGGTCAAACCTGTAATTATTTTTTTGCTGAGAATGTTGTTTTCCAGATTAAAAACATCTTTTTTTGAAACCTTAATCAAATTATTTGCATATATATGGTTTCATTTATTTTCACAAACATTTGATTTTTGTAGTGATGTTAGACACTCATATGATCCAGGTTCCTGGAGTCCAAGCCCAGTGAAAACAACTTGTCTTTTATGAAGGCCATAATGCCCTCAGACTATAATTTAAATTGCTAAGTAGTTCTCTGCCCATTTTTAAAAACCATAGAATAGTTTTTAAAGTTCTATGTCTTAATGATATTTACATTATTACCCTTTAGTGGCATGCTTCATTGTTATCTTTTTTTTTTTTTTACCAGAAATTAGAAGGTTAGAGAGATAAACATTCAGCTGATATACATTATACCCATTAGGATCCTGCTCGCTAGTGAAGTAATACGCCTTTCCAATATGCTGCTATCCTTACCTTGGACTAAAAGCCAGTATGACTGGATTTTATTAGTGCCATGGCAAGAGCATCACCACCCAGCTCTCAGACAGCTCTAGCAGATGTGGGGAGACCTCTAAAGAAGTGACATGAAATAGTCCAAAGGCTGAGATATCATTACTGCAAGCGTGACACATGACAACGTTACCTCCCAGGCTCTGGGCTGAGCAAGGAGAAGGCAGCTGTGGGCACAGGAGAGGCCACGGTATATAGCAGCAGGGAGATTGTCCAGGGGCTACAGGGACAAGAAGAGGACAAAGGAGGTGGGGCAGGGCTATCCTGCAAAGCCAGCCACATGCTGGTTCTTTAAAACTGGAAAACTGAAGCTGTAAGCATTTATCGTTTTCAGCTCCACTGGCCACAGGCTGAAGGACTTACATGGGTTACTGGAAAAGGAAGCCTGCACTATTTGCTATATCCTCCTTAAAGGTAGCTGCCTGTCCACACATTTTGCTCCCACAATAAATTCCTTCAGAAGAGGATAGGATGGAGAGAAGCAAAAGAGAAAGACTGCAGTAGGAAGACAGACAAGATCAAAGACACCACTTAGACCACTCATGGAAATTGAAAAGTTTCCCCCGCCCCATCACTCTTCTGCACTTTCATGCATTTCTTTATGTACAGCCCTGGCCTGAGACATGGACTTCCTTGCCACAGCCCCAGGTAAAGACAATCCTAAGCTTGTTAGACCATTACGGTGGAATGAATATCCTTCGCCACAGATCTGCATCATCTACCTTTGGCACCTTTATCCTCAGTATCTAAGTACCTCTGGTTTTTCCTACTTGGCTTCCCATCACCCAGGCATGATGGCAGACGTGTAAACCACAAGATCCTTAACAATAATTTTAATTAATTACTGTGCTTTCACCAAATGCTCATAAGCCCCCTGCACTGGCATACTCCAGCCTCAGATTGAACAAAACACTACTTTGCCATGCAAACTCAATGCTGACAGCAATTCTGCAGGGAGGAAGAAAAGGAAAATGGCAGGAGGGGGATGAGCTCAAACTTGCCGAAAGGCCAGTCCCTGTCTTAGTCCTGGGCAGCGGTCCCCAGGAGAAGTCATGCAATGAGGCCTTTCTAGAGCTTCCAACTCCACCATTTCATACAACGCTCATCATGACAGAAAATCTAAGTGGTTTAAGAAAAGGCCACAGGCTCAACGTCCTCATAAGTGCTGTTACTTCAGTGTCGGTACCGAATAGATAGGTCAGATCTCGACAGGTCTGCTGGAAACAAGATGATACGCATTGCTTAACTTCTGAAGAAACCAGCTATGTGTGTGTGTGTGTGTATACTCTGAAGAGGACCCATAAGACTAAATAAGACATGGGAAAAGGAGGACAAGAGTTACTTCCAAATTTTTCTTTTTATGAATTGGAAAAATAATAATAAATCACTGGAAACAGTTTTATTCACAAATGCTGGGTCAATTGTTATTTTTCTTAACCTCTGAAGAGTAGCTCCAGGAAATTATACTGGGCCAGAGATAAACCAGGTACGAACATATATAGTGAAAATGTCCAACGCAAACCAAAATGAGGACCTGATACAATGTCCCCTGTGTGGCCTCTTTTTTTTTAAAGAAGAATTTTTTTTTAAATTACAACAATTTCAAATAGAATCTAAACATGTTTCTGTAATAATCAAAATCATGTCCAACAGCATAAGAATACACAGTAAGAAATAAAGAAAATTATTTGAATGAGATTAGAATTATTTCATAATATTAACCCATACATCATTCAGATAACGTTTTCTGTCAATAATCAGAACTTACCATATTGATTGGGTCAACTGGGCCAATGCTGTTAACATAGACATCTGTTTCAATTACCGTAGTTCTCACTAAACAAAACAGTAACCATAATTAAATATGTAATTATTAACTCTGTACATTGTTAGTATAATTTAACCTATTTACTAAAAAAACAACAAATCTGAAATTCTTTTATTAGGTTCAGAATAATTAAATCTCTGGTTTGTTCATTCTGTGAAGAATCATATATGATTTGGCTCCCTTATTCCATACGAATTCTTAGAATTATCAACATGAATTTCTTACTTCATAATGTGGCCCCATCTGTTCTTTGTGAATGGATATGGTAGATATAAAAGGTATAAAAGGTAAAGGAAAAAAAGCAAAAGCCAAACCAAAAACTGTCTTCCAACATAAAAATTTAATCATAAACAGAAGAAAAATGTTTGGAAAAAACTGCTTGTACAACAAACCATGGGGTCTGGGAGCAGATGTGTTTATCAGCTGTAAGGAATCAATATGCAGTGCTTTCTGTCAATTCCTACTGAAAACACGTAACAAAAATAAAATAACTTTTCACCACAGATTTCTTGAATTCATGCAACTGTAGCACACCTAAGGGTTACTAATGTTCTTTCATCAGCTTGATTAATACGCTGCTTCAAAAACCAAATTGAAAGCTCCTCAAGTGAAAGTAATTTAAAAGTTAAACACTTCCAAACTTATTTTTTCTTTAAAAACACGGGGAAACCACTCTCACTGGGCAGACAAAAATTAACCGTTTTGAAAATATATTCTCTTACAGAATATACTCTCTTACTTTGTACGCTTACAGAAGGGCACAAAGTCTAAGAGACTTCCCACGAAAGTCACATCTGAGGTACAGGTGGCACTGGTAAGTCAGTTTTTTCCTCCTAACTGGTTTATAGGGGAAAAAGGTACAGACAGAAGAGGTTGGGATACATTTTAACTTCATCAATTTACCAAGCATTTTCTTCTAGCTTGTACTGGAGAGCCAGAATGTGGACACAAGAGGACATATGTCCTAGTCCCCAGTGGAATGAAGAGAGTTAATAATAAAGCTCTGCTGGTCTTTCTCTCATGATCTGGCACGTTAAAATAAAGCATCTCTGTCCATCTGCAGATGGAAAAGGGGGAAGACAAACAAAAAGACACTTTGATTTCATAGGAGAGGGACCCTATGTCATTGGATTTTATTTCTTTATACTGCAAACCATGATAAATTGCCCAAGTGCTCTATAACAAACCTAAAACCTTAAGTAAGAGGATTTTTCAAATCTCAAAAATCTAAAACTTGAACAGACACACAGAAAGAAACAGAGTATCATTAACATCCTTGCTAGCTACAATGACAGACAAGATACACTTCTTAAATATCCTAAGATACCTCTTCCCTGCCAATCTCACTTGCAAGGAAATTCTCCCTGACTCCAAATCCAATTACTGGTGTGACCCTGAGCCTGACAGCAAGACACACCAGTGAGGCTGCACAAAGGATTTTCTGTAAGACCACAGAGTCACTTGATCACCACCCTGTCCCCAGCATGCTTCACAGAAAGTTTAAACAGACTCTGGAAACCAATTTATTTCCTGGGGAAAAAAAAAAAAATTAAGTAGTTCCTGAGTTGCAAATGTTTTCAATATCTGCAGGGCTCATAAAGGAAGGGGGGCAACACAAGATCTTATATCCACAGACTGAAAAGTCAGAGTAAAAAAAGTATATAATGCGTGTGTATATAAACACCTATGTATAATATAACATATTTTACATACACCACATCTTGCAAACACATATCTACTTCCTTTAATATTGCAGACATATTTATCTATATAACAGCAACCCCACTGCTAGACTGGAACACAAGGGTGTGGATCAAAGTGTATCCTGCCTTATTTCTCAAGCAATGCTGAATCCACTATTTTTTCTCCATATTAGTAGGAAATGTTTAATTCTCCTTAGTGTTAGGAAATCTTGTTTTGTTCTGACATTCAAGTCTTTGACTCCAACTTTCAGCATTGCCTAGCCATATCATAGAATAGTTTGGGTTGGAAGGGACCTTTACAGGTCATCTAGTCCAGCCCCCCTGCAATGAGCAGGGACATCTTCAACTAGGTCAGGTTGCTCAGAGCCCCATCCAACCTGACCTGGAATGCTTCCAGGGATGGGGCATCTACCACCCCTCTGGGCAACCTCTGCCAGCGTTTTACCACCCTCAGTGTGAAAAATTTCTTCCTTATGTCTTGTGTAAATCTACCCTCTTTTAGTTTAAAACCATTAACCGCTGTCCTATCACTACAGGCCCTGCTAAAAAGTCTGTCCCCATCTTTCTTAGAAGGCCCCTTTAAGTACTGGAAGGCTGCAATGAGGTCTCCCTGGAGCCTTCTCTTCTCCAGGCTGAACAACCCCAACTCTCTCAGCCTGTCCTCATAGGAGAGCTGTTCCATACCTCGGATCATTTTTGTGGCCCTGCTCTGGACCCGCTCCAACAGGTCCATGTCTTTCCTGTGCTGAGGGCTCCAGAGCTGGATGCAGGACTGCAGGTGGGGTCTCACCAGAGTGGAATAGAGGGGCAGAATCAGCTTCCTTGACCTGCTGACCACCCCTCTTTGGATGCAGCCCAGGATACGGTTGGCCTTCTGGGCTGCGAGTGCACATTGCCGGCTCATGTCCAGCTTTTCATCCACCAGTACCCCCAAGTCCTTCTCAGCAGGGCTGCACTCAATCCCTTCATGCCCCAGCCTGTTTTGATACCGGGGGTTGCCCAGACCCAGGTGCAGGATCCTGCACTTGGCCTTGTTGAACCTCATGAGGTTCACACAGGCCCGTTCCTTGAGCTTGTAACATCAAACCTCTTCATCAAGTACCTACACACAGTGATTAATGTCACCTCTGAAACCTGCCTTCAGTATGCTGAACAGTTCATACTGCATACTGCAAATGTAACCTATAGGTAATCTGTTCAGCTTTAACTTCTAAACTTTCTCCATTGTTTCCAGATTCATCGTGGAAATGTGGACACCAGGACTGGAAATGTTTTGTAGCAGTGTTATAATGCTGCTTGAACATTTCCAGATTTCTACTTATTGTGTTCCTTTTCAGAAGGGGACTTATCTCAGGATAATGCTCAGGGGATGCATAGCTAAGACCTTATACTACAAAAAATATCTGTTTATTCCTAACTCCCTGCTTCACTATGCAGAATCTCACACCTTGAAATATGACCAACAGACTTCCTCCCCGCCTTTTTTTTTTCCCCTCTCAATTTTTGTGTCTCCAGTTTTAATGAAGGAGCAAATCATTACCCTGCAGATACAGCCTCTCCCTTTCCAACGGTCTTTGTGTTGCCTGCCAACTTTACTACAAAAAATTCATTGCTGAAATAATTCAAAATATCATTATTCTTGATCAAGACTTTCCTATGAGACCCTACTATAGACTGCCCAGCCACTGATATTTCCTTATTAACAACTAAATTTTGAGATCTGTCAGTGAGCCAATTTTTAATGGGGGCTGCGTCAATTTATGAAATTCCAGGTTGCAGAGAGCAGTACTTGATCTGCCACAAGGGTTTTCCTGTAATGTGCCACGGAGTTCAATTTGCCTTTTCCATACTGCTCTGAGTAAGATTATTAGTGCTATTAAGAGCCAGTAAAGAGTCTGAAAATCTGCCTCTGTTGAAATTAATTTAATTGACCCAAATGATCCAGAGAAAGAGGTCCAATTCAAGAAGACTGGAAGAGGCTGTTTTGCTACCTTGGTTGTTCTGTGTGGTACGGAGCAAAGTACTTCTGTAAATTAGAAGAAAGAATTCATTCTTCTCGCGTTCTTGAACTAGAATTGATGTGAGTCCATGAAAATGACAAACGCTGGAGGAAAATGCATTCTTGATAGTCATTTGACATCCATATAATTACTATTGTTCATTTACTCTCCACAAAGCACTAACAGAGAAAGATGATTTTAAGATGTTTCTACAGTGAATACTTCTTATTTTAATTTAAAAATTTGGTATCAGCCTTGAAAATACCAGGAGTAAGAAGAAGGCTACTTAACACATCCCGTGTGAAGTGCAAAACAGTACTGTAAACTTACAGAAGCTTCTAGGGAAGGGGACAAAGAGAGAGCACACTTCAAATATTTACCCCGAAAAACTATATGAGCCAGGCTAGAGTAAAGTAAGAAGGTGAGAGGACAGCAGACTGCATACTCAACAGAGAAAAAGAAGTGCACAACGGGGCAGCTGCCCCTAAGGGATAGTTCATCAGTTCCTAACGTAGCTGAAGCACACAGGGAACCTGCTTGCTAAGCCCGATCTACAGAGATCTGCTCACATTTTCTAATTTCCTGCTTTGACATCTTTTCTTCACTAGACTAAACTTCTCTTCTGGTTTAAAAGGTTTGACTGGTATTGAGCATCATCTTACACAAGCACATAGCTAAAGACAGGCTTGTCCCAAGAAATAAATACAGTAAATAAGTCGCTCTTGTGCCTGGAATTCAAGAGCAAGAATGAACTTCCCAACAAGCAGCAAGATCTGGAAAGACGTCTCTCTCAGCAGGCACAGACAACTACCCTACTAGAAAGGGATGACAACGCCCAGGCTGACCCTGAGTTTCAGTTCAAAATTTGTATTTTGAAAAATGTTTACTCTCTATTAGAAAAATCATGGTGATAAACATCTACCTCAAATACTGACAAATTATTTTAGTAATTGATCTCACTATCAAAAGTGCCTCTTTTTTAGCCTGTATTTATCCAGACACAATCTGCAGCTTTTGATATTTGAAATATCTCTGCCTGGTACATTGAAGAGCTCTCCTTATCGGTTATCCTCAGTTTATAAGACACCATCTCCTGACAAAAATGATTGCTATTTTTGTGAAAGTGCAGAACATTGCACTTTTTATTGCTTAATAATGCTCTATTTTCATTACTCCAACCCTCAACATTACCCAATAGCATGTTAGTTCATCCAAATTCACTAATTCCCATAGTTTACCACAATTCCCCATTTTGGAATGAAGGACTAAGATGTATCACCTTTTTTAATTATTACCTATCATGTTATTTAATTTAAACTAAGAACACTTCTGATAATTTCACACATGCTTATTTTCTTTAAGCATGTTTTCTGTAACTCCTCATTAATTGCCTAAAGAAGCATCTCTTCTTGGTGATAAAGCAGTTATTCAGCAAATAAATTAGGTGACTGCCACATTCAGGAATAACAGGGGCCTTCAATTTGTAATAGTTTTTAATGGAATAATACAATTCTTACAACCAGTTACCTAAGAGGATTACTTACATGGCTATCTAAATTGAAAATTCGGCCTCAAGTGTCTACAGCAGGTTTCCAGCTCCATCTCTGAAGAATTTTTTCAAAGTGATTTTGATGAAAGCAGAGCCCTGTTCTCCACACTCCTTCTTTTACCTTTTTATTTAAATGAAACCCATCTTAAGCAAATACTTCTGCCCCACCACTTTTATTATTTCCATTATTTTCTATGCAGTGCACACATCCAATACGTTTAACATTCACTGCATATGCTCTTCTACATCTTGCTTTTGCATTTCAGTTTCCTTCCATTCTTGCAAAATATTCTTCATCTCAGAATATGTACCTCTCTACCTTTACCTGATATTTTCTTGATTCTTCAGGCTTATTACTCTCCTGCCTGTATCATCCTTTCATCAATGATACACTAAGAGCACCTGTTCAACAGAATATTCCCTTAATATCCTTATATTTTCAGAATTAGTGCTTCTATTAGTCTCTTGAAAATCCACTTTTTGTTCATGTATTCTTTATATCCCCAAGTACATGACTTTTCACATTAGTGCACTGAGATGCAATTACTTACCCATGCCCTGCTTATAGGGCAATTACAACTATCCAGATTTCTCTAGGTATCCAATTTCTCTATGTCCATGAGCAATCATCCTCACCATTCTTAAAAATTCTATCAATGCTGACTCTCTTCAAACTCTTGATTGAAAACACTCCATTAGAGTTGCAGGTATGTGATGATTATTCCCTGGTTTTAATTTAACTTTCAGATTGAACAGTTGTGTTTCACCCATATAATACACAACATTGGACATGAGACATATCTGGAAAAAATGTGCTGTACATTGATAGGCTAATGTTAATATATTGGTGTGCCAAAGGTGTGAGAGAAGGAACAGTGTGCAGCCAGAATTCTTTCCTTTAAAAAGGAAAGTTGAAAAATAACAGCTTCTTTGATGCAGGACTGAAGCAAAAAGAGTGTGGTTATAAAAGCTAAACAAAAGGTAATGCTCCAGTGCAAATAACACTGCTTTATTAATATATCAGCACTACAAGGTTGTATCTGTAATTAAAGGGATTTATACTACAGATAAGAGACTTCATCTGGTAACTACTATTACTTCGTACTGAGCAGAAGGTACTTTAATACTAGTTCCTTTATGCTCCAAACATGACAAAGTATATTACATAAATTGAGTTAAAGACTAGTAAGATTAATAAACACAGCAAAGGGTAGCAGTTAAGAAATCACTACAACTCATGGATATTTGAATAAGAAAACCAGAAAATGTCAGAGTGTGGTTTTCTATCAAATTTCAGTTTTGACTCTGACTTTTCAATTTTCATTTGGCTCTCCTTTATCATCTCCCTCAACTGACCACATGTTTAACAATTAAACCCCCTATCTCACTCTGAGATGCTGAAATTCTGTGTCAACATCAAGAGGAAAACAAAATTCTGCTCTAGTATTCAAACCCAAGAAGTCCAGGTTCAAAACAAAAAATGTTGCTACTGTAACTGAGCTTCGTAATTCAATAGTAAAAATGTTCTGTGGGATATTATAGCTCTGAAAGATAATTAGAATTCCAGTTCAATAACCTTGTTGCACAAGTACTGACATATACTCTGACGATGTGGAATCTGACACCAGATCTTATCCACATAATTGAAGCAGACTAACATGAATGCATTATAGCCTGATTTTGTTTTTCTATCTGCTGCAGTTCCCAAGCAGCTGGACAGAATGCAACGCCTCCACCTGAAGCTGAAAATTTCATCTTATGTTGGCCAAAATCTTTGCCTTGTGGCAGAAGTCTGCGACATCCCATCCATCCAGAAGAAAGTCAGTCTTAAAATTTGTTCTCCTGGCAACAACGTGAATACTCCCAAATGTCTCCTGCTCTTACTACTCTGGCTGATTATTCATGAACCTTGTGTTTTAATGTATTGGAGGCAGGTCCCAGGTAGCAAAGGTCAGATTGGTACAGAAGTATTGAATCAAGAGAGCAAAGAAGAAAAAGAAAGGGAGCATTTATGTGAGAGAAGCTAGAACCAAGTGTCTTCTTGCAGTTCTATCAGCAACTGATATTTGGAATCCAAAAAGCTGTACATTGAGTTAGTCACAAAAAAGCAGAGTTCTTGCCCTATGAAGACTCAGTACACAACCAGAAAGATGAAGGTAAGGATTACACCAAAATTCCTCCACGCCCATTTAAATCCATTTGACATGTTAGAAGAAACTCATCTTCCTCTATTTTTTTCCATTTATTTCTAAGTTTTATGGGGAGAGAAGAGAAACAGAATTATCTTTTCTTTCATCCCCACCTACCAGGTAATCATTAGAAGGAATCCTAGTGGAGACAGTTTATTCCCTCATAATCCCTTTGTTGTCTGTTGCATCAAGCAGTTGGGGAAAAAAAAAGTAATGCTATACATTTGTCACACATTGAGAATTTAAGTAAAAATACACTGGAAGACCTTTCTTGTTGTCTAAATGTTTGCAGTAATTCAGTTAAATGAACGCGAAGACAAAGACTCACAACAAACTTCATGAGATTCACATGTGATTATATTAAGACAGTGAGAGAAAAATTGTCATTCAACATCTTCAGGGTAACAGTCAACAGCAAAACAGAACTAAGAAATTTGGGGAAGAAAACAATTTGTCATAAGCTTTCAAAAGAAAATACTTATTTTGAGATTGCATCTCTCCGTTCTCCTACATAAATGAAACAAGTCTAGACTGTTGTATTATTTATCGTATAAGTAGCTTACAGACTTACATGGCATTCCTTTGATAGGGAATGCCAAGCATTTAACAAATAATTATGTCCTCCACCTCTCCCTTCACAGTTCAGAAAACAAACTCAGAGAAAATAAATTATTTTTCTTAGTTTGATCCAGCATGCATGAGGTAGACAAGAGCTGGCAAGGTTTCATGTAGTCTGTGTTCTCAAAACAATATTGTTCCAAATATTCAATAGTTATATGCAAATTGATGCTTTGACTATTGAAAGACAAAACTGCCTTCCTGCTAGCTGCAAAGTTTGATCTATAGTCATGCAGTCTTCCTTCCTATATTCCTTTAGAAAAGGTATAGTCCTAAGTTATATTTTTAGATTCTTATGAAGTTTTTCAAAATCTGAGCTAAGGGAAGAAGAGAACTGGATCAAGTTAAAGCTGCTCAAAATACACACTTACAATGTATTTTCTACAGTAAGAGTAAAAATATCTAGGAATAATTCTTTAATAAACTCCTACAGATTCAAGATCAATTTTTTAAATAACCACGGCTGGTTTATACCTACAATTCTTTCTGTCGGAAGACCCTAGTTAAACAAAGTAAACTATAATTGTCTTTTAATAATTCATTATAGATTGTCCACTGTCCCCAAAAAGCAATACTTTACATAAGAAAAAGAGATTGTAAATAGAACATACAAAGTCTACTCTTGCATTATTTTTACCAGTTCCAGAAAACCACTGCATTTTATTGCTGTTATATTTAGCTTGTTATATTACGTTTTTAAAATTGCAGTAAGTGGATCTTCGACAAAAGGCACACCATCTCTGTTTTGCATCTACTTACTGAATTATTTTATGGGCTTACCCCCAATATCCGGACGAAGCTTATTGTCATATCCTTGAAGTAAGGAGTCCAGTATGTGAGTTACATCCCCACCATGAATCTTTGGTGCAAGGACCCATGTTTTATTCACTGTTAGATCTTCATCGTCCTCATCATCTGCTTTATCAGCTCTACAGTGAGTGAATTAAAAAAAAGGTTAGGAAAAAAACCCAAAGAGTGAAACTGAATACAGAAGAGGTGAAAGAAGAAACTGATAAAATATTGAACACTATTTAGAGTGTTCAATATTTGTAAAAATCCAAATGCATTCTGGTGCCAACAGAAAGAGGTAGGCCCTTATTTAAAACACCAACATTTTGTTTTATGATAGTAGAGAGTGTAAGCTAATAAACATGTCAAGAGAGGCATTAACACATCACCCATACAGAAAATTCAAGCCATGAGTCAAACCCATAAAAGAAGCAGTAGGCATCCTCTTACTGTCAGCCTTTTCCTGTTTTAAAACTCCCTACAGGTATTTCATTTTCAAATCATGGTACTAATATTTCTAAGAGATGCTTAACCATGGTAATAGATACATCTTGGTGTCAAGAACATTAAGAGCATCTCCTTCCTAGTAGCCTCCGTTCTAGCTATGATATAAAAAATAAAACTTGTATACTTGTTCAACTCCATTCAAATTTTAAGAAAGCAAACAAACATTACATCTATGTGCTATGACTAAACATTCACAGAAGCTGCAGCTGTGTCAATTATGCATCTGCATGTATACATGGTATAGTTAAAATGCTGTAGCAGTCCTTTCAGTTAAGAAGATCATTTGTTAGCTACCTATTTTATCAAGATGAAACAAATGTACAAGGAAAATACTTACACATTCATTTGTTGCCTATCTTTTAATTAGATAAGCAGCAATATATAGTTAATCACTAAGTCATTAGGAAAAAATTTGCAATACCTTGGTTGCATCTGCAGATTCACTCAGAGGTCACCAAAAGGTCAAGGAATGCCTGGAAGTAGTTTTCTTTCCATTTGAATCAAATGAGTGTGGACTTAAGTATTCCTCCAGTGCTAAAGTTTGCAATCTATATTACTCATCCATCTTATTTCAGGGAACTGCTATGGGCTTCAAGTCAAGCAAAGTGCATCAAACTGATAGCAATAACTCTGACAGTCACGCAACGTATCTTCACAAATGGACACTGGCTAGCAGCTATTACAGAACGTACGCAATCCATATAAATCAGTTCCAATGTTAACATAAGCACAGATATTCCAGTAAAAGAAAGGAATTAAATTACTGTCCTTGTACCAATTTGTGTTGTACAACAAAACTAAAAATGTCACTGCTATATTATTAGGAAGGGATTTAAGGACTTCTAAATTACACAGATATACACTGCCCTCAAAACTAAGGGTGGAATTTTTCAGCAAATTTCCTACAGGAATGAAGACCACCAGCATGTTCCATGTGGAGACAACACTACGCCTTCAGGGATAAAGGACAGAAAAAGTCAGGAAAGATGGAGGTGGAGTAGGCACGTCTGGCTTTTATTGCACTCCTTCGTGGGAACGCACCAAAACAGTCTGTAAGACCTTGCATCACCTCTCAGGTAACACTAGCAAGTCTCACTGAAAATCAAAACTATCACGGCTGTGGAGACTGCTCAGTGGTTTTGGTACGCCTGCTTAATTTGGGAATTGCAACAGGGGGCTTGCCACAGCTCAGTAGGTTCCCAGAGGATGAACAAAAGGTGCTGCTCGGGTACCAGGACTTCCACAGCTAGCTTGCTGCAAACAAGTTGCAAGAGTCTATTATACCTGAAAGTAATATGCAATCTAAATACAAGGTTCACTGACAGCTTCCCCTGTAACACTCTGGAAAGTGCTTTCATTCTTTTAAATTGAAATGCACCGTAAAATACTTAATCTTTACTGCACTACATAGACATTATAGAAATGTCAGATATTAAATATTTAACACTTCCCATTAGCAGGATCCCACTAATGGGAGCACTAAAAGAAGTAGGAAGCTAAGTTTTGTAAATGTACATTCTTTTTCCCTCAAAGCTACCTATTGCCATCTCTTTCATGTTTCAGTATCACGTGGCTTTTTATATATATATATATATATATTTGGTCTGCTTGCACTTTATGTCATCTCATTACTATATAAATTAGCTTATCATTGTTACGATTGCAGAAGCAATCCTAGCCTTTCCCCAGGGGCATTAAGATGATAAGGAGTCCTCCATCCCACAAACAGCAGAAAGTACAGTGAAACTACCAGAGCTCGGCACAGACCCAGGGCACCTGACTCTCAGGATCAGCCCAATTATTTGCAGAGAATTTGAAGTGATGATGACACAATTTTGTCCTGCTTTAATGCTCTTTCCACATCGTTATTAAGAATAGCATAGATTTAGTCAAAATGAAAAGTACAAGAGGACATGCCATTCCCACCTAAATCCAAGAGAAGTTACAACCATGATACCTCCACTCACAATCACTCAAATATCTTGACATTTTGAAGAGTTCTTAACTTTATTTATAGGTTCACAGGACAACTCAGGTGGGAAGGGATCATGGGAGGCCTTTAGTCCAGCCTCCTGCTCAAAGCAGGGCCAGCTCGGAGGTCACAGCAGGTTGCTCAGGGCTTGATCTGGTTGGGTGTTGCAGACCTCCAAGCATGGAAACTGTACAACCTCTCTGAGCAACCTGTTCTCCACTCCCCTCTTTTCCGTTATTTAAGATATTTAAATAAACTTGAAATTAACATGAAAAAAAATACAAACATATTTCAGATTTTCACCTTCTGTCTTCCTTGACTGGAGGACCTCCGGTCCTCCTCCAATTTTAAAACTCTGAACTACAAATAGGTATACAGATGAGAGCACTGATAGCTCACAGAAAGCTATTAATAATGCTATTGCAGGGGGAGAGGGAAAAATTCCATCCCAACATCTAACAGCTTTTCCAGTCCCTACTAAGTAAACCCATTTTAAGGAGGCACTTTTATTAGAGGCAACATTTTCTTTACTTGGTGTCTGACAAGAGTCTTGGCTTAAAATGCGCATTTCCTACTATTTACACAGAACTATCTGGTTTTATCTAGAAAATATTGTACACTGAAAAAAAGGGCCAGCTGCTAGAAAAGAAGCATGCTACACTTCTATACCAGTACACTAGGTTAACAAGAGCTTGTGGATCACTAATCCATTAGCTAAACCAGCAAAGGAACCGACACAAATCAGAAATTAATATAACCAGATGTGGAGGAACCAGACCATCACTGCTCTACGCAGTGAAAGGAGCTGTTCTTACGCTCTCTATTCCCATCTGACTGGCCCTCTCAGAGATGATTGACTGTGATTAACCCACCTCGCTACCAGAATACCATCTTTTAAACTTTTCTTTAAAATGCACCCAAGACCACTGAGCATGCAATAAAGGTCTCTGCAGTGCTGATGGCACCCAGTTCTACACTTTTGATTCCTAAGCCGTAGCCACTAGCATGCAGCCACAGGACTGAGATAAGAAAGGAATGATGCTGGTTGGAAAAAAGAAGTGACCAGAATATATAGAATGCCTTCTGTATGCCCTCCAGTGAAGCAGAGCACACAACACCTACCAACTTGAATTCTCAATCCAGATTTTGGGGGGGGAGTTGCACAAAGCTCCCCCAAAAGAACACCTAGACACACAGAGGCAACAGGACAGACACTGTGCACGTATTCATTTCTAGGAATCTGAATTACTGATCCTTGTGCTACTAAATAGATTTGAACTGCTCTGTTTCAAAGGTAGAATCCCTTCAGATTTACACAGTCAGCAGGATCAGCTGAGACAGTGTTATCAGGATCTTACCAAGGTTGCCAGACCATATTCTTTAAAGACACATTCACTTTGGAAAACAAGATGGTACGAAATTGTAACTTCTACCTCAGTTTCTGTGTGTCTCACATTGCAAAGTCCAGCTTTTTCTCCAGGGTTTGGAATGGGGTAGAAGGAAAGACAGCAGACATCAAACTTCATTCCAAACCAGAAAATAAAATGTTAAATTCAGGTATGCTGTTCAAATATTTAGCAACAGTTAACTTGGTCTGAGCACCTTTTCACTTCTTTGCAGTTAAAATAAATTTAACAAACCCATGAAGATTAATGTCAATTAACTCCCTCCTCGCTTTAACAGTAGCACTTTCCCCTCTCTCTCTCAACCCCAGGAAGAAAGGCAAACTTAATTAAAAAGGAATTCTTTTCCTTTCCAAGTTCATCTAAAGGTTATTTCACTATACACAGAACATAATACTTGATCCTCTCCCCATTTACTGTAAAATATATTTTTTTCCAACAAAGTTCACTCAGTAGGTCTTTTTCAGAATGTCTGGAGAGATGATGATTTAGAAGAAAAATATGACATCAAACATTAAAACATTTCTGTTCCATGACATGATGCAAATTTACATCAATTACTGCAGGTGTTAATCTTAATTTTAATGATTTTATGAACAAGAAAGAGACCTCACTTCTTAATATGCTTGTTGTTACAACACTTGAGCTAGCGTCATAAACTCAACAGTAAACTGCATGTATACAGTTAACAGTAATTAGTCAAAAAGTGCCCTAATTATGCTCTCTGTCCTTCAACTAATTGGAGACATTACCATGACTAATAAATCCCTGAGCACAAGTGACTAATGGCTAAATAAGTCTTTTCAACATCAGGCAACATGCTCATCTTCAGACTTTAATATCATAGGTCTTTGTTCTCCTTTAAATATAAGAAAAAACAATCAGATGAGCTTTAAGTTGCAATTAACATCTGTCAGGTTATGTGATGAACTGGAAAAAAAACTGATATAGTGAGAGTGCTCCTACAGCTATTTGTATCACGCATAACAAAGTACTCCATGTAGAAGTACATGTATAGAATAGGTGGGAGTACTTAAACACAGCTAAGAATCAATTTAGTTGTCCATTCTCAGGTTCCTATTCCTACCCAACACACCCAAGGGTTCCCAGTCCTCCAAGCGGTGTTGATTTCTGTAGTCTTCCGGAGAAGCAGTAGAGACCAGGCAGGGAACTTTAGTCATCTCCGCTGACACTTCATGCTTGTGCACAAGCAACTCAATCGGGCCCTCAGTGGCCGTGAGGTTTAAACAACCCTGCA